GTTGGTGGAAGGTCTTCCATATTGCTTCCCCTGATGAGGACAAAGTGGCACCAAACCCACCTTACCCTACCCTGTTGTCCCATACTCTTGCTGGCTGACCCATGGTATACTAGTCCGTTTTCACAGTGCTGTAAAGAACTGCCTGAGACTGGGTAATCTATAAAGGAAAGAGGTTTAATTGACTCACAGTTCAGCATGGCTGGGGAGGCCTCAGGAAACTTACAATCATGGTGGAAAGCAGAAAAGCAGCAAGGCACCTTCTTCACAAGGTGGTAGGAAGGAGAAGTGGTCAGCAAAGGGGGCGGGGGAAAGAGCCCCTTATAAAACTATCGATCTCGTGAGAACTCACTATTACGAGAACACATAGGGGAAACCACCGCCACGATTCAATTACCTCCACCTGGTCTCTCCCTTGACACACAGGGATTATGGTGATTACAATTCAAGATGAGATTTGGGTGGGAGCACAAAGCCTAACCATATCACATGGTGAATGTGTAGTATAAGTAAACAATACATCTTAATTATTTTCAGCCACTGAGATTTTGACATTGTTTTTTACTGAAGATACAGAAATATAAAATACCTAACCAAGAAGTCCAAAAGATTTCGGTTTCTTTAATGACTACTTTGATAATCTGGCATTTCCATGAATAACCAAATTCTTTTAAAAACTTCTCTTTTGATGCTTCTGACATGATGCAGTACAGTGAGTATGCACCTCACCTGGTCTGACTATTGGGAAATCTAACCCTTCTCCCCTTAGAAATTCTGCCCTGTGGTAAAACACAGCAGAATACACTGACTTTTGTAGACTATGTGAGTATCTCCTCTCTGCTGTCATTTACCAGATAGTCACATGTTTTTAGAAAATTTATTCAAACTCTCTAAATTTCAGTTTTCTTAGTTATAAAATTAGCACCATAATTCATATCTTTCCAAGTTATTGTGCCCCAGGGAAGATAAGAAGTACACCAAGTATAGGGGCTCTCCCAACCCACTCCTGACCACCAGTAGACACATCACTCAACCCTCCTGAGGAAGGGTTTCCTTTCCATAAAATGAGACAATACCTACCTCCCAACTTGGGGTCAGGAGTAAATAAATCAGTCAACATAGGGCTCTTAGCAGGCCTATGCACCGAATACACAGCAGGTGATATAATCATTGTACTCATCATTAAATTATTAAATTGCATAGCACCTAATATATAGTCAACAAATCTTAGCTGCTTCCCTTGCCCTTGGAGAATGAGAGCTTCATGTTTAGGAATGGAATCATTTGAAATAGCATTATCAACAGCTAATCAGCAGGGTGGCCAACAACCTACTATGAAGAGAAAAAGACTCATAGAGTCTCTGCTTTAGACCTGTTTATGGCAAGACATGTCTGGGGCCTTAGGATGCCAGGTTTTTTCCATTCTGTGAACACATGGCTTCCATTAGTTTACTGATACTGACACATCCGAGGCTTCCAAAGAACCCTGGGCCTCTGATGAGTGAAAGGTTTGCATGCCCAATAAGGAAAAGACAGGCTTCACAGGCATAAAAATGCTGCCAGGGGAGGGGCAGAGGAGGTGTTGAGTTTAGGTAGGAGACCAAATCTGGCTCTGTTTTAATGACCATCCTGTCTACACCTGAAAATAAACTAGCTACACCTGGGGAAATTTCTAATGCTTCTGGAGCTCCAATGCCGATGTCAGTGTGCATATATAGCCTTCATTAATCAGAGTGAGCGTCATGTGGGTGTGTGCACACAGGGACTGGAGAATAGTGAATAGTTTGCGCAGTGCTCACACACCGTCTCTGCTGAACTTTCTAATCCAAAGCAAACCCAAGCTCGAATGGTCAGCTTCTTTTACTATGTGTTCTAAGGACATCGTTGTTTGGTTGGCTTCTTAGAAACAGGCCTGAATTCTAATTAGTTTTCAGTTTGAGGCTGCAGAATGGTAACTCAATACCTGCCTAAACTTTATCATCTGTTTCCCATCTTCAAAGCGGCACGGTCCACTTTTGTGCTGAGCAAAGGTGATGCCGGGGACCTCATTTTGTGTTTTGCGTCTCGTAGCAACAAGTGCTATTTGAAAGAGGGGGAAAGGTGGGGCCGTCGCTGACCTAAGTTTGGGACAATTCTTTGCTCTAAGTTTCATCCCCATGGGGAGGATTCCAAAGAAATAAGGCTTTGTTTCCCTGATTACAGAAAGGATCTACCTCTTTGGGGCAGTCCTATTGTCTCTCAAAATGTTTGTCATTTCAGACTATACAGCAAGAGTGAGCAAATAAAAGTCTGATGAAAAAATAATGAGGGCATATTTGCCTAATACGTGAAAACTAATAACGTGTTTTCCTGTACACCAAATCATCTGATTCTTTCAACAGCCCTACGAACAAAGTGAGCAGTTCATATTGGGGCATTTTATAGGTGAGGAAAGTAAGACTGAAAGTGGTCGGTCCTCCTTGATTTGCATCTTGTCTCCTAACAACTAAAATCTTAAACCCTGGGCACGTTTCTCCATCTCTCTGTGTCCTCATCTGCAAAATGGGGAAAACAACAGTTGCTACTTCATGGGCAGCTGTTAGGTTTAATGAGTTAATACATGTAAAAATCTAAAAGTGATTAAAGATCACCTGTGATATAGAAAGAGTCGAATATGTGTTGGCTATTTTGATGATGAAGAAAGGTATTGGGTTGGTACAAAAGTAATTGTGGTTTTTGCCATTACTTTTTTTTTTTTTTTTTTTTTTTTTTTTTTGAGACAGAGTATCACTCTGTCACCCAGGCTGGAGTGCAGTGGCGTGATCTCGGCTCACGACAAGCTCTGCCTCCTGGGTTCAAGTGAATCTCCTGCCTCAGCCTCCCAAGTAGCTGGGACTACAGGTGCCTGCCACCACACCCGGCTCATTTTTTGTATTTTTAGTAGAGACGGGATTTCACCATGATAGCCAGGATGGTCTTGAGCTCCTGACCGTGTGATCCGTCCACCTCAGTCTCTCAGAGTGCTGGGATTACAGGCATGAGTCACCACGCCTGGCCACCATTACTTTTAATGGTAACTACGATTACTTGTGCACCAACCTTATAAAGTTGAAAATGTGGTACCCCAGAAGCTTAGGACTGAAAGTATCCATAGGAAGAATTGGGCTGAGATGAAATCCACATCAGCATAGCACAGAGAACATGAGAAAAACAAAATGCCCTCGTTTATGTGACTGTTCAATTCCCATCCTGTTTACACTCCACACTCTACCCTGGATGGATGACACACTGCTCCAAGTCCCTCAACGTCATCAGGAAGATTGTGACCCAATCTGACATCTGGTCGTGGAAAGTTGCATTTCCTTCTTATTTTATAAAATGCATATGTTGGGGAGCTGGGGGAAGAAGACCAAGTCTGACCCCCTCCAATCCATTTAATAACAGCTAACATAAATTGGGCTTTTCTTATGCGCCAGGCACTGTTATATGTATTTCACACATTTTCGCATTTGTTTCTCATGGAGGGTGATAAAATGTATCAGTTTGCTCAGCACTGATGGGTTCCCTGGAACTTGGCTGTGTTTGTGTGTTCTCATGCTACTAATAAAGAAATACCCAAGACTGGGTAATTTATAAAGAAAAAGAGGTATAATGGACTCACAGTTCCACGTGGCTGGAGAGGTCTCACAATCATGGTGGAAGGCAAAACAGGAGCAAAGTCACATCTTACATGGTGGCAGGCAAGAGAGATTGTGCTGGGAAAATCTGATTTATAAAGCCATCAGATCTCATGAGACTTACTCACTACCACAAGAACAGTATGGGGAAAACCACCCCCATGATTCAATCATCTCCACCTGGCCCACCCTTGACATGTGGAGATTATTACAATTTAAGGTGATATTGGGGTGGAGACACAGCCAAACCATATCACTGGCTATAACTGAGTGTCCTGGGCAAGCTGGGACTGCTGGTCACCCTCCACGAGGAAGGTGCTCAATTCCATTTTGCAAATGAAAGAACTGAAGTCAGAGGAGTACCAAGGGTGGCAAGGCCAGTAGGGACTTTTCAACCTGTGCTTTTAAATCACTATAGGATACCAGTTATGGAGAGCATCTTCCTATGGGAGAAAGTTGTAGCACATCAGTGAATGGATGAAGTTAGCTGTTGCTTTATCTTGTTTTAAACTTTTAGGTTCAAGGGTACATACACAGGTTTATTAAATAGGTAAACTTGTGTCACAGAAGTCTGATGTACAGATCATTTCATCACTCAGGTACGAAGCCTAGTACTCAATAGTTATTTTTTCTGCTCTTCTCCCTCCTCCCGTCTTCCACCCTCAAGTAGACCCTGTGTCTGTTGTTCCCTTCTTTGTGTTCATGAGTTCTCATCATTTTTCTCCCACTTATAAGTAAGAACATGCAGTATTTGGTTTTTTGTTCCTATGTTAGTGTACCAAGGATAATAGCCCCTAGTTCCATCCATGTTCCCACAAAAGACACGATCTTGTTCTTTTTTATGCTTGTATAGCATTCCGTGGTGTATATGTACCACATTTTTCTTGTCCAATCTGTCATTGATGGAGATTCAGGTTGATTCCATATCTTTGCTATTGTGAATAGTGCTGCAGTGGGCAAAGTAAATGAAATGAAACTTTGCAAATGAAATGAACAGACATTTTTCAAAAGAAGGTGTACATGCAGCCAACAAGCATATGAAAAAAATGCTCAGCATCACTGATCATGAGAGAAATGTGAATCAAAACCATAATGAGATACCATCTCACACAAGTCAAAATGGTTACTATAAAAAAAGTTTAAAAAAGAAAAAAATAGATGCTGGCAAGGTTGCAGAGAGAAGGGAACACTTATACATTTTTGGTGAGAGTGTAAGTTAGTTCAACCATTGTGGAAAGCAGTGTAATTATTCCTCAAAGAGCTAAAAACAGAACCATTCGACCCAGCAATCCCATTGCTGGGTATGTACTCAAAGGAATAGAAATCATTCTACCATAAAGACACGTGTACACAAATGTTCATGGCTGTTGCTTTCTTTATTACAAAGGGTTTCATATCCTCCTGGACTGAGTTTCTCTGTTGTTGATGCTGTTGGTGTTTGTCTGCTCTATGGTTCTTACACTTCCATAGGATTTGGAGGCATAATCTGAAATGTTAAATAACAGACTTTTATTTTTCTAACTAGTGTCATTCCATCTTTGAAAGAAAAATAAGAACAATGACATTAGCATTAGCAACTCTGAAAGGATCAAGACCTGATCTTCATAGTTCTATTACTTTCTTTTTCTATTTCCTCCTAAAAATAAGTCTTAGCTCCAGTGACTTTCTATGAATTACAATTTCAGAAGTGACCAGGGCTTCTCAAAGGGCACTTTCTTAGCTTCCACATACCTTCCAAATGTATATCAAGGCTTCACATCACCTGTTATACTGCCTCTATAAAACAGGTACACAGAGTGGGATCCATGGCATGGAGTCAACCAAAGAAGTTATCATCTCAAGTTATAAGGAAACTCAGGAAGAAAGGTTTCACGTGGAAAAAGGATTTTCCAGTCTCTTAAATAATTGTCCATGAGTGGATTTACTTAAGCAAGAGCTTAAGTACACTTCAAAAAGAAACCAGGGATTATAGCTGCAAGATGAACATTGCATCAATATAAGGGCCACTTGGGGACACTCTGAAATCCCAAGGCAAAATTGACTGTCTTGGTTTGACAGAGGAATAGGGCCAATTGGGGGTTTAGGCTGATTTTGTTTTTTGTGAGTCATTTTGTCTGTGAACATGCCTTACAAATTAAAACAAACCCAAAAAATCCCTAGGTGTGAGATGATTAAAGTTTTAAATCTGGTCACTTGTAAATCACAAAAGCGCTGGATGAAAGCCATGCTGTTTGGAGGCTTTTATTTTTCATTTTAAAATCTTAGGGTTTGCTGAGCTTATAAAGACTCCTTGAATCAAATAAAAAGTGAGGGTTTTTGGAGAGAGTCATTCTCTTCATATCAGATGCATTTTAGTCTATAATTTTCCACTCTGGCTTATGTGGCTGTCTAGGCTTGATTCCATCAACTCATTTAATCTCCGATTTCATAAAAAAACATGCTTTCTGTTTATCTTTGTCCAACTGAGTGCAATCTGTGCTTTCTAGCTCTCCTAACAATCCCAACTTTTTGAATTTCGTATCAGAATGCCTGTGTGGCATGGTAAATCTAGGCTGTCCTTGACAGGTTAGAAACTGCATACTCCTAGTGAGAAAATTAAGTGACTGCTCCCAAAGACACTCACTTAGCAAATTCTAACCTAAAAACAGATCATCACTTTAATCTACTGTGATTAAGTGAAGTGGGGGAGAGAAGTTAATGCAAATCAATGCATAGCTATAAGTTTTCAAAAAAATAAATGGTGAAGTTTCCCCCACAAACACTTAATGTTCATATACAAGCTAGTTGCTGAATTAGGGAAAATTTAGCATTTGACACAAGCTCATCTGAAACCAACCAAAAACAGAAACTTGAACTGAGTTTGCTTATTGCTACATCCCTCTACTTTGTAAAGCTTAGAAGACTTCTTACGCTTCAAGGAAAGTTTGATAAATAACCATCTGACCAACAGAGGCTTGACATTGTAGTATCATTTTAATATCCTACCTAATTTGTATGTATAGGTCAGAGCTATCCTACTGACCCATATATACAGATGAGATGCCTGAGTAAAACAACTGTCTTTTATTACTATTCAAGGTCCTTGTTTTGTGTATTGGGTTGGTGCAAAAGTCATTATGGTTTTAAATATAATTTTGGGATGAATTTATAAAGATATATTCTACTTCAATGTATGCATCATTACACCAAATAGATTCCCAACATTCTATCAATCAATCATTCTTATGGTCACAAACATTTGTTTCCCAAAAATATTTATAAAATTCTGTTTGTCAGCCCTATCATATATATTTTCGATCTGTCCTATCTCAAAAACTTACTACTTAGGAAACCAGAGCCCAAAATAAGTATTAATTCTCTATCTACCTACACACACACACACATATATACAGCAATAACTTGCAAATAAGAGTATGATGGGAAAGAAAAGAGAGAAAGGACAGTCTACCACATGTCATGAAACAGACTTGCTTAATTTCACTCTGTATGGGGTGTTAGAGTGTTAGAAATAACCCAAACAGCTGAGATGAAAGGCATTACTTTTGGTTATTCATTTGTTTTTATTTCCAGCTCATCGTCTGTTATACAACTTTAGCCTTTTTAAAATGAATTTATTTGTAAATAAGAATAATGAGTTGGCAACTGGATTCAGGTCTGGCCATTTTACCTGAGCAATGAAAAAATAAATGAGGTAGCGGTGTGCAAAACCATCTGACTCCCCTTTGAAATCCTCTTGTTTCCTCCTGAGATTGTCTAATTATAGAGTAATGCTGGAAGTATTCTTCACTTGCAGATTAATTAGTTGATGCTTAAGCAGTTCTTTGAACATAAAAGGCAACATGTAAATCTAAGTGTAATCAATCATCCTCAAGCTAATGATCATTTAATTAGTGCTTTCTGCTAGTTTAACAGTCCATAAAGAAGAGGGCAATTTAGGGAAGGGTCTCCAACCATTGCAAAGATGTTGGATGTAGCTATAACTAGAATGAAAAACAATGTTCAAAATGAAAGTTTTAACATTGGAAATAAATTGGAAATTGACTCTCTTCTTCTGGTGGCTAACAGCCATAAACGGACTGAAAATGAAGCTTATCTTTTAGTAGCACTTGCATTTTTCCAGAATTAGGAATCACATTTCAAATTGGGCTTATCCGATGTTTTATGGCAAAACCAAATACTTGAGGTGATATTTACAGGGCAGAAAAAAAGTTAACTCTGGAGTGTTTGTAAATATTATGAAGGCTTAACTTCCTGCATTCTTGGTAAAATGGTATCCTAAATAGGAAATCATGTTCAAGTTGAAAGTCATACGATAAAGCTAGTTGTTTTGTAAAATACTTGTATTAGACCTTCTTACATCATTTTCTAATTATTTCTGTATTACTTCCCCTATTTGATTATATACTCAAAGCCAGGCGCCTTGCCTATTTCCAGCCTTATTCAGCTAAGAGTCAGCATTCATTAAGTGAGTGAATCAATGAACAAATAACAACTAGAAATATACCTGTACAACGGATATGAGCAAATGTGGCTTTGGGTCTAAAAATTATTCTTCTGAACTTAAAAAATATTATGTCAAAGAAAATGTAAACAGTTCTGTTTGTCAATTAAGTCCCCATTCTAATGCTGGGCTAACACAAACATCATCACAAAGAGATCGTCCAGCCAACATGCTCCAGTTACCCAGCACTGCAAGGAGCCGTACTGGTTTACCTAATCAATAGCTGCATCACATGAGTTTTTAAAGCACAGTTTTCTCAACTATGAATTGGGGCAATTGTGACAGTCATATGGAATGATCACAAAACCAACCAAATAATTATTTAATAGGTGTCAGCACAATTAACATCAGTTGATTTTTCTTTTTACAAAACTTTAACTCAACAGAGAAAAAAATTTAAAACCTTGCTGAAAATATGTATAGTCCTATCTTCCATGGACAAGAATTTCCTTTGCCAACTGATAATTCAAATAGCACAAAAGCAACATTAGAGATCAGCACTGATACCTCATGATAGTAAGAGGCACACACCTCAAACCTGAGCTTTCAGGGATGTTGTAAAATTCATCATTTAAAAAGAGATTTTTAAAAAGGCAATAGCAGTTATGAAGATATATGTCCTATTAGCTTTTTCTCAAAAGAAAAAAAAAAGAGGCAGAGAATTTAACCGTGAAATAAACAATAGTATGATTAGGGTAACAGTAATACTATTTAAAATTTTACTCAAAAAAAGAAACACTTCAACAATAGTAGTAGATGAGTGTTTCAAAGTACTCAGATGTCTATCCTGTTTTTCAGAAGGATGTTTTCCATGTTCCTATCAGAACTCATGGAAGAATTTCTATATGCAATTTCCTCAAAAAAATCTCCACATCTAAATCTGATAAGACAGAATTTTGGGGCATTCCTTACCGAATAGGCTGGCCATACAGCAGCACGCATTTGACTGCATTCCGAAACATGTATCTTAAGAGGCTCTACTGAAAAGGTCCCTGCAGAAGACGAATACACAAAACCTATATTAGAACCACAGGTAAAGCGCTGGATGCAAAAACCACATTCACCCTACAGTCTTTGACAAAGGTTTTTCATAACTCAGCCTCTGACTTTTCTTACTTCTCGAGCGGATTTAATACCATCGACTTCTACAGCGTATAAATAATCTGGGTCTATGCACCCAAAGTCATGTAAGACAGTAGAACAGAACCTACCTCGATTTGAGAAAAACATCCATTTTTAGAAAATCATGAATCTGTGTAAAGCAAGGCAGGAGAAAAGCAGATATTGCTAATACCAATAGATTAAAACTTAGACCAAGAAAAAAGCCACCACTTTGTAAATGTTATCTTGGTCAAATCTAAAGTGGTGTCTAACATTTTTCCTTGGCTTCTTTTCTGAATATGAATGCTTTCTGCATTTACTTGAAATTATGAGAATGTTTTAAAACTCCGAAAACAGAACAAAATTTTTATCATTGCTGATTTATTCTCAAGCTTTCCCTCTTTTAAGAAAACACAAGAGGAAAAATAAAAACAATATAACAAATAAACAAACCTAAACAAGAGATGCTGAATTCTGCTACATTTATCATTTTGTAGAAGCATGAGTAAAACAAGATAAAACACGTGAGTGTTCATTTACACAGGTTACAAGCTTTATGAAATGCAAAGGAGCTGTATTTTACCATAGGAAGCCAAGTGAAATAGCGTGAAACAGAAGTCGATCATATTCAAATAATTAAAATACAAATATATTTCATGAAGACTCTGATTCCAGACCTCCACCCTCACTGTCTTCCACCCCCTTTTATTGGAATCTCTGAAACCATTTTGCTTGGGGCAGAAAGTAGATTTTAGTATAGTAGGAAAAATGCCAAACATCCATGGCAACTTAGAATTTTTCCACTTTCTTTACATGTTCAATTGAGACCTTCATAAAATTATAAATGAAAGGATACATTATGAGCACTTTCTTTGAAGGGGAAAAAGAGGGTGGGGGGAGGCCTTGCCTGGAAGTAAAATTTTGGAGTCTATATCCTTCTTCTCTGCAGCAGAACTCTTGGGAGCTTTCTCTGCCAACAGCAGGACCCCTAAAAAAAGCTTGCCTTTGCCTTCAGAATTCAAAAAAGTAGTTTGCTCCCCTGACTGTGGGTGAGACGTTGATCGCTAGGTGGGGACTGGAAAGTCCTGGGCTTCACTTTCTTGTCCCTCAAGGACTGAGGTCAGTGTGTCTTGGCGCCTTATATCCACCCTCTCCACCCTCCCACCTTCCTTCCCCCCCACCAGGGATTCACTCCTGTTTACATTGGGGAGACTGCAACTTCTGTTTCTTAATGTTTAAAAGAAGTTTAAAAGCTTATAAAAAGGCTCTTAAGATTTCTTGGACACCAATCATCTCTTACAGAACAATATTTTGATGAGTTAAGTGTAAATGAATCAGAAACCTACGTATTAAATTTCCCTTGACATGAACATCAGTTTAAAATATTAATGGAAAAAATGCCTGGGGCTCAAAGTATTGGGGGTTTTCTCAAACCCAAAATGCTTGAACATGGAGTAGAAATCCATTTAGATCAACCAGGTTTGCTGATCCTCCCTCTCAACCTCCCCTAGATTGTAGTTACCGTGGAGGGAGTAGTATTTCCAGCTATTGACCATCTGGCTGAGGACAGATCACATTCCTGGTCATTATGCTTGCATCTCAGCAGAAGCCCAAGGCTGGGCTGAGGCTGTTGAGATGTCCAGCCGCTGTTCACTGAAGGCTGACCCTAAAGGCTGACTTTTTTTCTTTTCTTTTCTTTTCTTTTTTTTTAGACCGAGGGAACTAAATAAACAATCACAGAAGATCATAAATCACTGACAAAGATATTTAGATTTGGAACAGCCCCCAAAAACAGAATGTGCCACAATTTATCCCTCAAAGATTAACTCAGTCCTGGGTCCTATAATTGTGGATCCCATGACTTCTGATGATAAATGACACAAGGGTCAAAACTTGAGAACCAGTAGGTGTTTTTGTTTTGTTTTGTTTTAAATGTTGACTCTGGGTCCAAGAAAACACCCAGAGGAACAGAAGCAACCCAAAATCCTGAAATCAGACTTGATCCCCTAAAATCATCACCATACACACACACACACACACACACACACATATATATATTTTTTTTTTTTTTTTTTTTGAGACAGAGACTTGCTCTGTCACCGAGGCTGTAGTGCAGTGACGCTGTAGTGCAGATCTTGGCTCACTGCAACCTCTACCTCCCATGTTCAAGCGATTCTTCTGCCTCAGTCTCCTGAGTAGCTGGGACTACAGGCACGTGCCACCACACCTGGCTAATTTTTTGTATTTTTAGTAGAGACGGGGTTTTACTGTGTTAGCCACGATGGTCTCCATTTCCTGACCTCATGATCCACCTGCCTCGGCCTCCCAAAGCGCTGGGTTTACAGGTGTGAGCCACCGTGCCCGGCCCTGATTTTTTAAGTTAGTTTTTCATCTCTGTGTGTTTTGTGAAAGGATGACCACACACACTAGGTGAGTGACAAAATAAGGAGATGGAACCAAGTGAAAGAGATTTCAAGCCTCTCCTCTTTGGTCACGTTAGCTAATCTGATCATTTGGGACATGTGTTCACAGATACTACAACTGTGAACAATTGTTAACTTCTTGGTGAAACACACCATATGTTCAGTGCTTCAAAAGTATTATTGGAAGCACGTCTGCCTAATCTTCAACCCAACGCTCATTCTAGTAACGCACGTGAAAGGGTTCTACGAACTCTCATAAACTATCCCCACATAAACTGTTTTTACTATTATTTTCGAAAGTTATAGCCCTCACCCCCTTAAGGAAACCTTACAGTTCTTAGTGCTTTAGAAGACGCCCATATCACCTCTATTTCAGGAGGGGTGAGGACACAAGAGTTCCCTTCCAATGGGATAGTTCCCCTTGCTCATTCTTTCTCAGAGGCACTCTCTCAAAGGTTTGGCAGGGTCTGGTGGTCAAGGAAGAGTGCATCTTTACAGAAACATACCTTTTAAAAACAGCGTTCAGCCTTGTCCTACTCAAGGCATGTGCCGGGTATATGTTTGTTGAATGGCTAAGTGAACGAGTGAATGAATAAAAAAGTCATAACTTTGAGAGGTGAAGCCGGCTGGGCTTCTGGGTGGGGTGGGGACTTGGAGAACTTTTCTGTCTAGCTAAAGGACTGTAAACACACCAATTAGTACTCTGTGTCTAGCTAAAGGTTTGTAAATACACCAATCAGCACTCTGTAAAAACGCACCAATCAGCGCTCTGTGTCTAGCAAAGGTTTGTAAAAGCACCAATCAGCACTCTGTAAAAACAGACCAGTCAGCGCTCTGCAAAATGGAACAATCAGCACTCTGTAAAATGGACCAATCAGCAGGATGTGGGCGGGGCCAACTAAGGGAATAAAAGCTGGCCACCCAAGCCAACAGCGGCAACATATTTGGTTCCCCTTCTGGGCTATGGAAGCATTAGGCTTTCCCTCTTCACAATAAATCTTGCTGCTGCTGCTGCTTACTCTTTGGGTCGGCACTACCTTTATGAGCTGTAACACTCACTGGGATGGTCTGTGGCTTCACTCCTTAAGTCAGCGAGATCACGAACCCACCAGAAGGAAGAAACTCCGCACACATCTGAAGGTTGGAAGGAACAAACTCCGGACACACCATCTTTAAGAACTGTAACACTCACTGCGAGGGTCCATGGCTTCATGCTTGAAGTCAGCGAGACCAAGAACCCACCAGAAGGAACCAGTTCTGGACACAGCCCTTTTACAAGACATTTGCATACACAAATGAAAAGTTAAAAGACTGTCAGAGACAGGTATAGCACAAATTGCCCCCACCTCAACTAGCCATCCCTTCACCTCCAACCCCTCCCACCCCAGAAGATGATTAGGGTTTTTTGGGATAAAAGAGAAGCTGTACAGCAATGACACACCCCAAAGAAAGCACACTAAGATTCCTTTGCTTTATATTGTTTATAATGTTTAACCTCTCTGGTGGCCACCAGTTCTTAAAAACTCCTAAGCATTTTCACAGAAAATATAAGGAAGAGGAAAACCAGCAATAGTAACAACGTCAATGGAGCTGGCAGACACAGAAAGACTCAGAAAAATATGGAGGCTCTAGGACGCCTGATAACAAGTCTAATTTCCTAAAATGAGATCTGGGGACTGGAGAAAGTCAACAAACAAGGCAGGGAATAGGATGGACATCAGAAATGTCCAATTCCAACGTATTTTCTCAGACTCCTTTCCTAGGCAAACCTGATGAATGTGTAGACATAAATAGATAGTCCTACCATAAATTGATCTCTTTTTATCCTAAGTAATCAAGGTCCAGTCATTTCCCCCAAGCTGGGCTTCTCTTGCTATCTCTGGAGATTCAGCATAAACATGTTCCCGAAGTTTTGCTCAGGTAGATGAAGATGGCAGAAAGCATGCAGCTACTGGGGTTAGCGGCTGTCCGCTGATTATGTGCCCATAGTTTATCACCAAAAAGTTTCCATGCTTTCTCCTGGCATTTTCTCTCAAGCTTTTACAAGCCTTGTTCAGGGAGTGAAAACTCATTTTAAAGGTACTTTAGATCCACCTTTCCCTTAGGGAAAATTTCTATGCAGGGGGAAAGCAAGCAAACCAAAACAAAAGTTACACTTCAAAGCCTTACAAGCTAGCCACAGGGAGAAGGCTAAGTCTTCCCAGTTAGTTACTCAGCCCTCCCTTGTGCTAATTGCAGGAGATAGAGCCTGACTGTATTATTTGCATACTTGCTCAGAAGAAGGGCCACAGAAGGAGGTCTAGAAGCTCAGCTGGTGTTTGACTGACATCTTTTAGGACTTGGACCCCACCGACCACCCCCGCAACCACCACCACCACCAGTCCAGGACCTGATGTAATATTGCCACAGACTGATTCCTGTTGCCTTTGATATGCAACCTGTGCCTACAGTCGGCTCTCAGGGCTAAAGAAAACAGTCAGCTCTTGCAGCATCTGATTTGCCTCCTGCCCTCACTGCTGTTAATCTGCGACACGCCGCAGCCTCGAGATCGCTGCCGTTCAGAGTCGGATGTCATGGGGGCGACTGGCAGGGGTTCTTTCTTCTTTCGGTTTGATACATCCTTCCTTCCGCTGCTCCTCGCAATCAGCCGCTAGGGGAAGGAGGGAAGCAGGCAGGGGGGAGAGCAGGAGACCCGGAAACCTCTTTCCTCCCCTCCCTTCACAGGTTGCCCCATAATGACCCTGGAAACTCCCGCCTGCCCCCAGTGAAGGAATTGGTTACTCTCCCAGAGCCCTCCTGGGCATCGCCCCCTTCCTCACTTCCTCCTCTTCCTGCCCCCAGCCTCTACCCCTCCAGCCTCCTGTGGCTTCACAGCCAAGTGCCCCATCTCAGGAAGAAGAAGTTGGAGCTCCGTGATGGTGAGCTTTCAGACTTCCCACTACAACCCCCGCCTCTTCAAAGGCACAGAGGCAAGCAGTGGCTTCCCTGGTATCATTTGTGAATCTAGGAACATGCGGGAGGTATCGAAGATGGCATGTAGCCTGTTCTTCTTTCTCTTAGTAAATAATATTCAAATGTGCTAGAGGGAAAATACTTTTTAATTTATATTTTAAATCTGGTTTAGAATTATTTTGAATGTATAGTCTGTTTTCCTGGAGTCCAATTGTAACATGAACCCCAAACCGAGGAGTTCTGTTTTTATACATCAGGAAGGGGACCCACCCAGTCACCCATCCACCCATCTTTCGACTCACCCACCCACTCTTATTTGTAACTACATAGTGGTTTATTTTGCCAGCACTGAACTATGCAGCTTGTTACCCCTTTGCCAGCCTCTGCAGACAGAAAGCAAAGGCTGATCCTTCTCAATTCTCAGTTGACAGGTACATTCCTACTCTGAAGCTACAGCTGGATGACACCTCAGACAAATGCACTAATACAAAAAAGTTTGTTTTTCTGCATGTTTTCATTTTTGATTCTTTTATCGGAAGCATCTTTACGGCTGGGAGGCAGGTGCACATCCATGGCAGTGGGGGGGTCAAATATTAGAATACTTACGGTGCTTACAATTTTCATAGGATCACCCCCCTCATCCCTCATTGCCAATCAATTTCACTCTGTTTCAGGGTCACAGATCATACCCCTAATCCTGGCCAGTTGTCTCACCAATGTGTGTCACAAGGGGCCTGGGGCAAGAAAGTATAGATGACCCAGCATAACCATTGCTGCTATTGCAGAGAAACTCAAAGGGCACGTCCTACAAAGAGCAGAACACAATTAGAGGCAGGCATAATTGCAGGCACTAAATTAGCACGGGTCTCTCAGCCAGGGGCTAATCTAAGCCAGACCTCACGTCATGGCAGGCCATGAGTACATCGCAATTACAATTCAAAAGAAAAGAGAAAAATCACCCTCGATTCTCAAATGTTTATTTTTAACACGGCAGATACTTAGCAATTATATCAGAGACCGAGGCATCTGGAGTAAAAAAGAAAGGTGATTTGGGTTAATAATCTTTGAAAGGCTAAAGGATTTTCAATGTATCTATAGGACTGAGCCCTGTGCATGCTCCCCATTCTCTCTCTGACAGCAGCCACATCCGCCCCACCTCTGCCACCACACGTTGGTGCTACCCAAGGTCTCCACTCATGCACCATCCCTCTGCATCTCAAGCTTCATCGGGACCCTCCTCTGATCTGGCCTTACCTGGCTGACCTAGTGCCCCAGTTCTCTAACACATGGAGAGATGGAACTGGTAGCTTGAACCCTCCCAGTTCCATCTCTTCCCCTTGTAAGTTTTCCTGATGCCCATGGGACCCCATGTTTCTAGACTATGCCCTAACACAGAGCCTCTAAACTTACTTCCACAGGAAGGCAGAAATCAATCTTGAGCGGCCAAAACAAATATGCTTTCTCAGTGGTAGGCTTAGGAGTGTTTTTTTTTTTCCCCCTCTATAATCAACATGTATTAATTTTACATTCAAAAATTGTGTGTGTTTCTCTGTTTAATTCGGTTTCAAAATCCAGTATACAACAAACTTTGCTTCTCCTGGCTTTTTAAACTCTTTTCACATGCCATAGTCCTGGATTCACCAGTGCAATTAATTTGCCTTTAAATTTGTCACTTGGGATT